TCAACCAGAGCCTGTTCGTCAGTCCTCTAGTCTAGACGCTGTTAGAGTCATTTATCAACCAGAGCCTGTTCGTCAGTCCTCTAGTCTAGACGCTGTTAGAGTCATTTATCAACAAGAGCCTGTTCGTCAGTCCTCTAGTCTAGACGCTGTTAGAGTCATTTATCAACCAGAGCCTGTTCGTCAGTCCTCTAGTCTAGACGCTGTTAGAGTCATTTATCAACAAGAGCCTGTTCGTCAGTCCTCTAGTCTAGACGCTGTTAGAGTCATTTATCAACAAGAGCCTGTTCGTCAGTCCTCTAGTCTAGACGCTGTTAGAGTCGTTTTATCAACCAGAGCCTGCTTGTCAGTCCTCTGTCTCGGTCTTGTATTAAGTTTCCTGTCAGCGGGCCTTAGCGCAGCATTGTTCTATGTAGTGTTTTAGAATCTCGTGACTTTTTGGCATGCTAACGTACATATTCGTTCATTGTGACTAGTTCTATGTTTGTTCCGTGAGATTTGTGATTTTAGTTCTATTTATTAACATTAATGGCGAGGGAATCTCTCATACCTATAGATATATACGGGTAGATATACCGGATTTAGAATAGATTGAGCTCTAGTTCTAAGTGTGTAGAAGTCCCGCGCCAATGTTGTTATATGAAACACTTTAACGATTGACCGATATATTGAGAAGACAATAAAAAGAACGATTTCCAAACTGGAAATATTTTGTCCTTGTGTATTGATGTTGCGGTTCACCAGCGGAGAAGTTATATACGCCAAGCTAAACCCTATTGTTTACACAATAAAAGATGGTATGCAAAGGTTTTTTGTTGTTTTGTTTTGTTCTTCTGCGTTGACAGTCTAGTGTAATATTTCATCACTGTGTGTTGACACTGTGGTATATTTTGTCACTGTGTGTTGACGGTACCGTATATTTTATCACTGTGTGTTGATGCTACAGTATAGTTTGTCCATTTGTATTGCCGCTGTGGTATATTTTGTCCCTGGTATAGTTTGTCCATTTGTATTGCCGCTGTGGTATATTTTGTCACCGTGTGTTGACGGTACCGTATAGTTTGTCACTGTGTGTTGACGTAACCGTATATTTTGTCAGTGTGTGTTGACGGTACCGTATAGTTTGTCACTGTGTGTTGACGGTATCGTATATTTCATCACTGTGTGCTGACTGTACCGTATATTTTGTCACTGTGTTTTGATGCTACGGTATAGTTTATCCATATGTGTTGCCGCTGTGGTATATTTTATCACTGT